ACATACCATTCATTTTACGGATGAAGTGTGGTAGATTTTTTACTGAATATTGAAGAGTTTTTGTGAAACATCAGATTTTTGTGTACTTCAGCCTTATGAATTTTCGGACCACTCGGGTTTAACAATACATAGTTTGAGGAAAACACAAAATAGAGAAAGTCATAATGTTTTGTCAGATAATGACACATATGTATCCGATGGGATATAACCAAATTAAATGAATTTCATTCAATTCTTAACACAAAGCAGTGTGATTTCCTTAATACTTTGAATAGCTGTACTACCGATGATATTGATTCACAATACTTTGAATAGCTGTACTATTGATGATATTGATCCACTTTTAATTTCTTTCACTCAGGTATTAAGTGAATGTTCGGGAGTACAAACAAAACTAAAACAAACAATTATAATAAATAATATTGGTTCAACTTGGACTGCTTCACCACAAGAAAATAATATAAAAAGCAGGGAATGTTGTTGTTAAAAATAAATCTAATATAAAGTATAGACAAGTATTTGTTATTGCAAAATACCATTATAACAAGATCAAACGCATACAGAAGTAAATGTATAATTTAAAAGAGAAAAATAACTTAAAATTTTAAATAATTGTGGAAAAGAATAAATAACAGAACTCTAAATCTCAGTCAACTGCAGAAAATCTTGATATTGACGGCTAATAATTTGTTTCAAAAGTTTATGTTGTTCAGATAATACATATTTGAACGACGAGGAACTAAGTGATTATAATGATAAAGATCTCGATTGTAAAATAACTATGCCACAAAATGATAATAAAAGTACTGGTACTGATACACTGATCGCGGAAATACACAAACATTCATTTTCATTTATTTCACAGATAATACTAGAATTATTTAATATAATTTTTGAATTTGGAGAATACCAAACGTCATTGGGATCAGGAATCATAGTATCCATATTCAAGGGAGAAGACATTAATGAAGCAAAGAATTACAGAGTGATTACACCTATAAATATCATTGCAAAAAACATTCTCAAGTCTTATAAAATGGTCTACAAAATATAACAAAATAATTGAATAATCAAAACGGGGAAAATCGATAGTCGACTATATTTTTCTTTTACAAGCTATTATTAATAAAACATTATGTTCTTGTAAAAAGCTATACTGTACATCATAGATTTTGAAAAAGTGTTTTGACAAATTAGAAAGGCCATTTATATTTCAAAAACTTGTTAAAGACAGGGCAGGTTTTGAATTCATTAATGCTGTCTAATGTATGTATAGTACTGTTAAAGCAGCTGTAATTAAGCTATAATTAACGCGTTTCACAATTATTTGAATCAAACATTGGCGCAAAACAGGGGGATACCAGCTTCAGTTTGTAATATATTAAGCAGTTTCGACGATAATATTGGCGATATTTTTTTCTCGATTAAATAAAATTGTTCTTTTTGCGTGCCGATTATGTCGTACTGTTTGCACATTCGCCGGAAGTTATTGCATAAGTTGGAATTTAAAGGTTAAATCATGATCGAATTTGAAAGATACATACTTTTTTTTAAATATATTAAATAAATAGATAATTAATTTGTGTAAATATAAATAAATATAGAGTACAACTAACGCAATTTAGGTTATTATCACAAAATCTAGAAATTGAAACTGATAGGCACAACGGAAGTTCCAAGAGAAAATAGACTATGGCAACAATGCAATATGCGTGTCACCGAAAATGAAATCCATTTTTTACTCGTTTGTTGTTTGTATTCTCATTTGATACCATCCTAGTTCATTTCGTAGGACTAAAACCGTTCCGGTCTGTTTAACAAGATAGCCATCAGGTAGAGGTGTCATTTTTTCAATTTTAGCTCTGGTGTCCATTTTGTTTAGTAAACAAAAATAATTTAGTGAAGGACATTATCGGGATCATTCCTGTAAGTTTTAACACTATTGACCACGCGTACGATGAGAAAATATCATTTAACAGAACGGCTTCCGTAGGAAAAGAAGCACAACTGATCACATTTCATCTCTTGTTAACCTAATTGATACTAGGAAGAAAATGAAAAAAAGTACTTTTACAGCATTTATCGATTTTCGTAAAGCTTATGACCTAATCAATCGTTCTAAGTTGTGGAGTCGATTACAAGTTACTGGTGTTTGTGGCAAAATGTTACGAGCCATTAAGTCTTTATATTCATCTTTAGCATCATGTGTTAGACTTAACTCGTTCACTACTGACTGGTTTGACGTCCACTGTGGCTTACGTCAAGGCTGTGTTTTATCACCTTTACTTTTTAATCTTTATATCAATGATCTTGCGTTGTATTTAAAGTCTCTTAGTATTGGTTTAATAATTGATGATGAAATTGTTATGTATACTTTTGTATGCTGATGATATGGTGCAGAAACCGAGCGTGACATACAATGTTTATTAAATGGTCTACACGATTGGCGTAGTACAAACGACATGTCAATAAATACAAGCAAGAGTAAGATTGTTCATTTCCGCCCAGAATCTTGCACTAGATCATATTTAGTCTTTAAACGTGGACATGATACTCTAAGTTATGCTGATAAATACAAATATTTGGGATTCGTTTTGCATGTCAATTTATACATGTATGTTACAGCGAGGATGGTGGCACAAAGCGCAAGTCGTGCGTTAGGCTTACTAATAGCCAAGTGTAAGTTAGTTGGAGGGGTTCCTCATAGCGTTTTTACTAAATTGTATGATTCTGTTGTATGGCCCGTTATTGCGTATGGAGCTTCCTTATGTGGTCATAAGTCATATTCTTGCATAAATGCTGACCACAATCGAGCTATGAGATTCTTCGTTGAGATGGGGGAAATATACGCCAAGTGCAGCAGTTTCAGGAGATATGGGTTGGGTCCCCCCTTTGGTCCGGCAATGGAAATCAGTGGCCATTTTTTGGGTGCGCCTTTCCCAAACAAATACTTGTAGACTAAATAAACGGATTGAACTTTGGTCGTTGACAAAAGGTGCTCCTCAATGTAAAAATTGGTTTTATCATGTCCAAAAGCAATGGAATGATTTAAATCTTGGTATGTTTTGCGACTTGTCTTCACCCATTGCTAAAACTTCCTTTGTGCGCCAGGTTGAATCTTTGACTATGGAGGGATTTAAGGCTGAATGGATCCGTTCGGTTAATTGTACAGTGGGCCCGTCAGGTAGGGGTCTGAATAAGCTGAGAACCTATAGAACTTTTAAGCAGGAACATACGTCAGAAGAGTACTGTATAAAAATGATCTTACCCCTAGGCATAGGTCAGCGTTTTGCAAATTTAGGTGTGGGGTAGCCCTATTCGTATCGAAACGGGTAGGTACGAGAATCTGAGATTAGATGAACGCCACTGTCCTTTTTGTAATGTACTTGAAGATGAACAGCATGTTATATTAGACTGCCCAGTATATGATGATTTTAGATCAGAATTAATCTCTAAGGCTGTGTTGCACGAACCTTCTTTTATTAATTTTAGCAAAGACAACCAACTTGCATTTTTGTTCTCTAGTCAACCATTAGTCAGAAAATGTGCCAAAACCTGTTTTAATATTCTTCAACGTCGTCAATCTTACTTATGTAAATAATATATTTTATATAGAACATGCTACTGTATTTTTTTTATGATTTGATGTATGTTTTTTATTTGTTTTTCTTTTTTTTCTTATTTTGAAATAATAAAAAATAGCGACTTTTTTAATCATATAAATATATAAATGTATATTTCGTTCCATTAATTTATAGTATTTGTACTGTGTAGTTAGTTATCATTTATAATTGGATATAATTTTATGATTAGTATGATATTTTATCATGTTATTATAAAAGTTTTACTAGTCTCTTAAAATTCAATGATTGAATGGTCATGTACTTTTTTGTGTTTTATGTTTGCTTATGAATTTTATTTGTGTTTGTACATGAATGAGACTTAAATAAATAAATAAATGTTTAAAGCTTAATTTTGTTTATAGCTCCGGTGGCTACTTTGTTAAACAGACCGGAAACATTTTAGCATTTTTCCTTTCCAAAAAAACTACTTACTGATCATTGCTATACCGTTTCATCAAAATCTAACAAGTTGTTGAGGAAGAAATGTTGTTTAATATCGTTTTATACTGGACCATCTAAATGATATGTCTAATATGTCTAGTTTTTTTTGAAGATGTTGTTAAAGGAAAAATGTAAACTACAGACAATCATAATATTCCCCTTCAGCACTTGGGGCTTGGATATCGATTGATTTTGCTTTTATAACGTTAAATTCATTTGGTTGTTCTGAGTTACTCGTAATATGCATTTACTGTTTAAAATATTTTCTAAACGGAATATCTTGTCAGTTACACTGTTTGCGCGTCAATGCTAAAATGACTCTACGTATTTAACAGTTTACGGTTCTTATTCTATATATGTGATAAAAAGAATATTATATTCGCTCGCATAATATGATTTTATTGAATTTGTTCAATACATTTAGTATTCAATCTACAGTCTGTGTTTAAACTGTTAAAAGATTTTGGTATTTATTTACCTGCGAATTGTTTGTTACCTGTCAGAGTATTGTATAAATATATCATGTCACGCAATAGTATCTGTTAAATTGACAATGAATCGAAATATCTCTTTGTGTCAATGAATAGATGGTATATGAACACTCTTTTGATAATGCAAAATATTTACGTAATACATGTAGTATGAACACGTGTGACCTTTTACATTACTTTTTTGAAGATAAGTATTGAAAAATATTTAGATAATTCCAACACATAAGTCGAGGAAGAACAAATCACTGATTAAACAAATTATTATAGATTATAGTATGTATTAAATAATATTGTTAATATATAATGAAAAATAAACTTTGAAGTTATTTAATGGAAACATGTTTTTGTTCTTTTTGTTTCTTAAGACGGGAAAAAACACGTGATATTTAAAACATTTGAGAAGCTATTGTGAAAATAAAACTACAGTGTATATAAATGGTATTACCTTTTCTTGCTGACAGATAGTGATACCACTTTATGATGATTCGAAAAATAATTATGATCTTTCAAACAGTTACCACAAAGATATTTTCCACATGGTTTACAATTTTTGCAGAAATGTGTTGCAGCTCCATGTTTTCCTTTTTTGATACAAATAGAGCAAGCCTCGTCTTCGGTAGAGTACTGCTCATAACCATGATTTGTATTCGTTGGTGATATAACTGGCTGGTTATCGCATGTTGTGCTGACAACAGAACTACTTGCTCCTTTATATGTTAGGTAAGATTCCGAGTCACTTTTTATTTCATTCAGAAATTCTTTAACGTCCGTTTCTGCCATTATCGAACAAATGCTTAACTTACAATATCACGCACAAAAATAAATCAGTCAGTACAAGTACTGAAAATGTATGACTTGTGTCTAAAATTATACAACTTAAAGTCGGTAACAAAAACATTTGAATAAAGCTTTTCATGTCAGTTTACTGTTGAATAGAGTTGATTGTCCGGATTTATCATAACTATTTTTGTAGTTTTGACACTGTTATAAGTTTCGTAATAATAATGATAATAATAACAATAATAATACTTATAAGAATAAAAATATGGATAGTTATAATAATAATAATAATAATAAAAATAATAATAATAATAATAATAATCATAATCATAATCATAATCATAATCATAATAATAATAATAATAATAATGATAATAATAATAATAATAATGATAATAATAATAATAATAATAATAATAATTAATATAATGATTATAGTAATAATAATAATAATGTGATGATCATGAAATAATAAAACGATAAAAAGTATTTTTAGTCCCCTACCGGTTTAACCGGAGGGAACTTTAGGTTTACCCTCCGTCCGTCTGTCCGTCTGTATGTCAGTCCGTCCACAAAACTGGATCCCACGATAACGCAAAAAGTACTGAAAATATTTTTATAAAACTTGATATATGGATAAATGGCAGTATGAAGAGTATGCACGTCTTTTTCTTTTCTTTCTATGTTGAAAATTCTGGTTGCTATGGCAAAAATAGACTAAAATATGGCAAATTTTACACACACTCAAAAAGTACTGAAAATATTTTTATGAAACTTGAAATATGGGTAGATGGCAGTCTGGAAATTATGCACATGTTTTTTTTTCTTCCTATGTTGAAAATTCTGGTTGCTATGGCAACAAATAGACTGAATATCAAGATTTCTTATTTGAATTTTTACGCTTTTTCACTATAATTTCTTTATTTCTTAAGGTGTTTACTTCAAACTTTAAATATAAGTTTCTGGTCATCAACCACATTATATGTGACAAGGTTTTTCAACTCTAGCACAAAAAATATCAGAATTACCTCCCTTGAACTTAGAATTTTTATGAAAATAATGTTGTCTTTTTTAAATACTTTCTTTATTTATTAATGTATCTACTTGAAACTTCATATATATATGTTTCTTATTATCACTCAACATTTGTGAGAAGGTTAAATACTCTAGCAAGACTATTTCTAGAATTATGTCCCCCTTGAACTTAGATTTTTTTCGAGAAATTGGTATTTTTTACTCCAACTTCTTCATTCCTTATAGGATTTACTTTAAAATCCCACATCATAATAATATGACAAGGTTTATAAATCTAGAATCCATATTTCCAGAATTATCTCCTCCTTAAACTTTGAATTTTTCTTATTCATTCTTTAACTTTCTTATTTCTTCATGGATTTTCTTCAAATTCAAAATAAACATTCATTATCAACACCTACATTATATTTTTGTTTTTAATTTTCATCTTTGTTACTTACTATACATTATAGTTAATGCTATATTTGAAAATTGTTATTTTTTTTACTTATCTTCTTTGTGACTATAAATGGTATCTTTAAACTTAAAGTAAAACTCACATCAATGTTCATAAATCTAGCATCGTTATTTCAAGAGTTATCTCCTCTTTAAGAATTTTGTATTAAAATATGTTATATTTTGGTAACAGGGATGTTTAAAAAAATAACTTAAGAGTCTCCTTCAGTCTGTCTGTCTGTTCATAAAAACTGTTTCCTGAGATCACTTTTAAAGAACTTTGAAGTTTTCCAATAAATTTACTTAAAATAGAGAAAAGTTGAAACATAAGTTATGCATATTCATCCTGAGAAAATTGGACCTTACTAGGCAGGGAAACTTAACACATTACTATGATATAAACAAACTTAGAACTCAAAACATTTAAGTTCATTTATGTCATTCATTCACTGGTAAAATTGAATTGGTAATGGCCCATCAGATGTGTTGTTGGGGTTCTAACCGGTAGGGGACTTATGGATAGCTTGCAATACTATGATAATTGCTTGTTATTAAAATAGATAAATATAGAATCCCTAAAGAAAGCCCAACACGGCAAAATTGAAAATGTTGCAGGCTCGGTTTGATTGAGCCTGTTCATGGACGGTACTGGAAAGTGCAAATTACCGTCCACGCCCCCTAGCACCGGCTTAAGCAGAATTCAACATTTAAACGTGAAATAGTAAAATTTCGAATTTAGAAACATCCGCAGATGTGTTCATACGGCGGTAATCATGGAACCTTCAATGTGACACTTCCGTGCCATTCCATGAAAAGCGGCGTATGGTCCCCAAGTAATAAAAATCGTGTGCCCTAAACGAGAAAACAATAAAGCTTTAAATATGTAAATGATGCTTCTTAAATTGCTTCACATTATCCATATCCATATGTACACCCGATTGTGCCCGAGGCATTTAAAGGCCAACATATCTCCACTTCAAGCCAATTTTCCAAACATGTAAATGTGGAAGCGCCAGTACTACACAAACCAGTGATCGATTTTCCAGTGTGGCAAGAAATAACCATGAACAAGTGAAATATACAACTTGGTTAACCCAAGTTGTCTAATAACAGCACTATGATAAACACAGGTGAAAATCAGGAACATTATTACACACAGGAGAAGGTCCCACTACGGTGTGCAGGGCCTTATTTAAAAATAACAATTAAACTGACATCACGAGAGATAAAGAAAGTGTTTAATGAGAACGATATTATATTATTTACAGAAACGTGGACAAGTTTTTTAGTCAACCATTAGTCAGAAAATGTGCCAAAACCTGTTTTAATATTCTTCAACGTCGTCAATCTTACTTATGTAAATAATATATTTTATATAGAACATGCTACTGTATTTTTTTTATATATATTTTTTTTTATGTTTTGATGTATGTTTTTTTTTATTATTTATTTTTATTTTTTTTTCTTACTTTGAAATAATAAAAAATAGCGACTGGTTTTTTTTAATCATATAAATATATAAATGTATATTTCTTTCCATTAACTTATAGTATTTGTACTGTGTAGTTAGTTATTATTTATAATTGGATATAATTTTATGATTAGTATGATATTTTATCGTGTTATTATAAATGTTTTACTAGTCTCTTATAATTCAATGATTGAATGGTCATGTACTTTTTTGTGTTTTATGTTTGCTTATGAATTTTATTTGTGTATGTACATGAATGAGACTTAAATAAATAAATAAATGTTTAAAGCTTAATTTTGTTTATAGCTCCGGTGGCTACTTTGTTAAACAGACCGGAAACATTTTAGCATTTTTCCTTTCCAAAAAAACTACTTACTGATCATTGCTATACCGTTTCATCAAAATCTAACAAGTTGTTGAGGAAGAAATGTTGTTTAATATCGTTTTATACTGGACCATCTAAATGATATGTCTAATATGTCTAGTTTTTTTTGAAGATGTTGTTAAAGGAAAAATGTAAACTACAGACAATCATAATATTCCCCTTCAGCACTTGGGGCTTGGATATCGATTGATTTTGCTTTTATAACGTTAAATTCATTTGGTTGTTCTGAGTTACTCGTAATATGCATTTACTGTTTAAAATATTTTCTAAACGGAATATCTTGTCAGTTACACTGTTTGCGCGTCAATGCTAAAATGACTCTACGTATTTAACAGTTTACGGTTCTTATTCTATATATGTGATAAAAAGAATATTATATTCGCTCGCATAATATGATTTTATTGAATTTGTTCAATACATTTAGTATTTAATCTACAGTCTGTGTTTAAACTGTTAAAAGATTTTGGTATTTATTTACCTGCGAATTGTTTGTTACCTGTCAGAGTATTGTATAAATATATCATGTCACGCAATAGTATCTGTTAAATTGACAATGAATCGAAATATCTCTTTGTGTCAATGAATAGATGGTATATGAACACTCTTTTGATAATGCAAAATATTTACGTAATACATGTAGTATGAACACGTGTGACCTTTTACATTACTTTTTTGAAGATAAGTATTGAAAAATATTTAGATAATTCCAACACATAAGTCGAGAAGAACAAATCACTGATTAAACAAATTATTATAGATTATAGTATGTATTAAATAATATTGTTAATATATAATGAAAAATAAACTTTGAAGTTATTTAATGGAAACATGTTTTTGTTCTTTTTGTTTCTTAAGACGGAAAAAACACGTGATATTTAAAACATTTGAGAAGCTATTGTGAAAATAAAACTACAGTGTATATAAATGGTATTACCTTTTCTTGCTGACAGATAGTGATACCACTTTATGATGATTCGAAAAATAATTATGATCTTTCAAACAGTTACCACAAAGATATTTTCCACATGGTTTACAATTTTTGCAGAAATGTGTTGCAGCTCCATGTTTTCCTTTTTTGATACAAATAGAGCAAGCCTCGTCTTCGGTAGAGTACTGCTCATAACCATGATTTGTATTCGTTGGTGATATAACTGGCTGGTTATCGCATGTTGTGCTGACAACAGAACTACTTGCTCCTTTATATGTTAGGTAAGATTCCGAGTCACTTTTTATTTCATTCAGAAATTCTTAACGTCCGTTTCTGCCATTATCGAACAAATGCTTAACTTACAATATCACGCACAAAAATAAATCAGGCAGTACAAGTACTGAAAATGTATGACTTGTGTCTAAAATTATACAACTTAAAGTCGGTAACAAAAACATTTGAATAAAGCTTTTCATGTCAGTTTACTGTTGAATAGAGTTGATTGTCCGGATTTATCATAACTATTTTTGTAGTTTTGACACTGTTATAAGTTTCGTAATAATAATGATAATAATAACAATAATAATACTTATAAGAATAAAAATATGGATAGTTATAATAATAATAATAATAATAATAATAATAATAATCATAATCATAATCATAATAATAATAATAATAATAATGATAATAATAATAATAATAATGATAATAATAATAATAATAATAATTAATATAATGATTATAGTAATAATAAT